AAACTTGTGGTTGCCAAGAGGGTGGGGGGTGGGAAGGGACAGACTGGGATTTCAAAATGTAGAATAGATAAACAAGATTATACTGTATAGCACAGGGAAATGTATGCAATATCTTGTGGTAGCTCACGGAGAAAAAAATGCGACAAGGAGTATGTATATGTTCATGTATAACTGAAAAATTGTGCTCTACGCTGGAATTTGACACAACATTGTAAAATGATTAAAAACCAATAAAAAATGTTAAAAAAAAAAACCTAATCTATGGCTTCAGAAGTTAGATTAGTGGTTTCCTGTGGGAAGGTGGTCAGGAGAGCCGTACCAATCCTGTTCCATTTATCTATCTGCGTGGTGCGTACAGGATACAGTTTTGTGCCAATATATCATGCTCTGCACTCAGAATTTTTGCATTTTTGGCATACGTGTTTCAATACAAATTTTTTTATCAAGTAAAAATGAAACTGACAGCCGAGACTGCCCTGGCCATGTGGGGCTCTTTGTGCCAAGAAACAAAAAGCAGAGACGCCGTGGTGATCGATCATGACTACCAGGTGGAAGTTCCGCTGCTGCTCCCCCGGGGAGTAGTTCATTCACAGGGGTTGCTCAGTGCCCTCCGTGGTCAGAGGGAAACTGTAGCCACCCATGAAGACTGGACCACTAAGAAAGGCTTGGATAATACAAGAACGAAAATTTGCATCAAATCACGGGGTTAAAAACTCTGCCGTCCTAAGGTGAAGGCAAAGGGGACTTATGAAAACAGTGTATCTGGGTGGTTTCAATTAATTTCTTTTCTTCCCACTGGGCACTATAAACTGTGGGTGCACGCACCGCCTTTCTGCAGGGGATGCTTCCCATTCTCACATTTTTACCGGTAGCTTTGACTTAGCTAGAGCAGTCAGTCTGACACAATTTCAATCCGGCCTTAAAACTTAGTATAAAGTTAAATTTGTGCTAACAAAAAATGTTCTTTTTATATTCACATTCTCCATGTTGAAAAATAACCATAAAACTTACCACCTCATTGTTTCTTAAGAAAAAGGCCATCGTTATTACTAACCAGAGGACACTAGGGAACTAAGTGGTCATTTCCCTGTGACTTTACGTACCTTCATTTCCATTTTTCAAAAGAATATAGATTTTGTGATTAAATAGAATTATATTTAATTATATAACCAAGTTCTTTCCCTGTAAATTCTTTCCCGTGACTGTGTGTCAAAGGCTAAACCAACACCATGTGGGAGTCAGTCAACGTAAGTGAACATGGAAAACAAACAAACAAACACAAATGACATACACAAATGCGAGCATCCAAAGAAACAAAAGAACTGGTTCAAAGATCAGGTAAAAGTCCAACAGCTATTTCCTCTCACCAACAGGAAACCCCACTAAAACAAATGGGTTTATTCCAGACAAAAAGCCCCACACGCAGAGGAATATAGTTTCTGGCTGTACACACCAGAGCAACTCGCCCTACTGTGTGCAGCCTGTCGGCCCCCAGATGTAGAGCCCTTGCTCCAAATGCCAAGTGCTAGGGGCAGCAGGTGCGGCTTCAGGGGATTTTGAAGGGTAGGTCCTCAGGACAGGTGGTCCTGGCGGCTGTTAGAGCCTTACCTGAAACTTCCCCAAACAGGGCAGGCTGGCCACAAACAGCAAGGCTCCAGGATGGCTTTGCCCAAATTTGTTACTGAGTCCAAACTCGTTCTGCTCGCCACATGACAAGCCAACTAATCAGCAGAAGAGGCGCTGGGGTAAGGAGTAACGACTTTATTCGGAAAGCCAGCAGACTGAGAGAATGGCAGGCTAATGTCTTGGAGAACCACCCTACTCAAGTCAGAATTAAGGCTCCATTTATACTAAAAAGGGAAGGGGGTGTGGTTGGTTGCTGCAGACTTCCTAGTGTAGGAATTCTTTCTTCTTGGAATCCTTTGTTCTTGCAGCTGTCCACCTGGGCCAGGTCATGGTGTCCCTGTAAACCTCCAACAAAACAAATGTTATTTTCCATTCTGCAACTTGTTGTCTTTATAGAAGTGCAAAAGTGTAAATGTCCTTAAAGGTCAGAGCCTTGAGAATGGGCTCTCCTGTCTATTTCAGGCTAAAGGCAACATTCTTCTACAAAAGGTGCAGAGCCGGCAAGACTAAGCCTAGAAAACAGGGCGCAGGGTTAAAGCCAAAGAAATTGATTTAATACGGAGTCAGATTTGCTTTTTCCTGCTACAATTACTTCCCACTCCTCAGTGCTGAACCCTTTGCACACCTGCATCTCTGCAACACATGAAGCATCTTCTCTTGATGTGTGTTTACCCTATCAAAACCCATTGCCCCAGGAGGACAGGCCTCACGTGCTGCCCTTATCAAAGTGGTGAAGCCTATTGTTCAGCGAAGTCCCTGACAGGTCTCACAACCAATCAGGTACCTGTGGATGAACTGATCCTGGGCCCCCTTCTCCTTGTGTGCACAGCCTCCTCCCCCAATAACAAACCCTGCACGCTCCCCCTTGGGGCTCATGCAGGTACCTCCTGCCTGTGTGGCCTGCTGTTGCCGATAGCACTGTCCCTATTAAACTTTCAAAAACTCTTCTCAGACTCAGGTCATTCTTTACCAAGTCACCAGCTCACCATTGTGCCCAGAATACCTGAGAAAGAATGGGCTAAATTATACAGATTGGTGACTCAGGTTAATTAGCTAGAAAGGTGAAACCAAGGTTTACAAAGAAAAGCAGCATACATACTCAAGGCAGGACTAAGAACCCACACAGATAACTAAGACTCTCCACGTGCATCCCACTGTGGCCTCAGGGCCTTTGCACTGGCTGTTCTTTCAGCCTGGAACTCTCTCCGTCTCTCCTTAAACACCTCCGGGAGTCTGTCAAATGTCCTTCCTGACTTTATTTTTCTCCATGGAACACATCACCGCCAACATTGTGTATATTTTACTTATTTTTCTCTGTGTCCCCCACCAGGCTGTCTGCTGCATGAAAATGGAGACCCGCATGCTTCACTCCCTGCTGTGCCTGTTGTCTGGAACCTGCCCAGCACACAGCAGGGCCTCAGTGAATGTGCACTGGGTGTGTGATCACTGTAGGCCACAGACAAGAGTCTTCCTGGCAGTGATTGTAAGAGTCGTTCATTCACTACTTATTGAGCCCTGCTGTGTGCTGGACACTGACCTAGGCAGGAGGCACGCAGTGAGTGAGACACACAGTGAGCACACACAGCGTGTGAAGAGGGACACATGCTCTGGAGAACACGCAGGGCTCGGGGAAGTCAGGAGTGCAGGGTGGAGGAGGAGAGAGCCAGGTGGCGGGGACAGTGGTGGCAGAGGAGACAGAGAGGTGGGGGCCCAGGTCGTGCAGGGCTCGGTGGCCCCTGTGAGGGCTTTTCTTCTGGGCAGGGGGAACCACAGCTGGGTGTGAAGTGGGGGGCTGGATCCTGAATGCTATGCAGGAAATGAAGCGGGTAACTGCTGGGGAGATGTGTGTGGAGGAGGCTGTCCCTATAGACTATGCAGGCAGGGAAGGCTCCTCTGAGGAGGTGACATCCGAGCTGAGCCCTTGAATGGAACACGTTTCTCCCTTCTGTAGACTGGATGCCTTCATCTGCCCTGCAGGCCTTTGCGGGACACGCCCTGTTCTCAGTCACCTGGACTTGGCCTCCTGCCTCCCTTGTGGGCCCTCCCGCTCCAGGAGGAGTCCTTTCTCTAGGGCTAACCCCCCACCTCCTCCACTGGACTCGGACCCACACGGAGCCACTGCCCACCTGCCTGACTCACCCAGAATCAGGTCCAGACACACGGGGTCGTCCCTTGACCCCAGAGCCCATGAAGTTACTCTACCGGCCAGTCCTCAGCCTGCTCACCTGCCTCGCCCTTCCCTCCTGCAGAAACCCCGTGACAGCCCTATCCACAGCGCCTGCTCCTCCGCCCCTGACCCCGGGGTCCCCACGTGGTGTGAACCCACATGGGCTGCCATCCCCACACCGGGCCAGTGAGTAGAAAGTGCCTTTTCAGTGGCAGCTGTCTCCTGATCTGTTGGCCTTCCTGGACCCCAGATTTTCTAGTAATATAATCTATTTCACACCAGCTGTGAGACACTTTATGATACCTGTGAGGTCCTAAATATCCATCTCCCCAACCTGAGGGCTCTGGCCCAGGTTTGACCAAGTCCTGCCTTCACACTGTGAGTGGAGTTTCCTTGGATTTCCAATTAAGCTGTCAGGGAAGTTGCCAGTTCCAAATTCATCGAGTAATAACCAAGTTACACCACGCGTGACACCTCCTGTTCCCTGAGTTACTCGATTAGAATGTGCAGTTGTCAGGAGGGAGTCAGCGTATTTCCAAACAAGCTGCATCTCTGGGAGAGAGTGGGGGTGGCCCCCTGGAAGATGTCAGCTCCTGACTCCTTTAGTTGGGAGCATCCATCTTCAGACGTTGGATTTCCAGAGCAGTGTCTGCAGGGGAGAGGGGGCTGGAGCTGGGCTTGGCTGTCACCCACGGAAGGGAGGGCTGGAAACCTCAGATAGCTGTGGTCCTGGGAGCAGCCTGACCCAGGGGGGCCACTAGAAGTGTCCCCTGCTAGATTGCTGTCCTGCTGAGGGTCAGGCTCAGCTGCTGCAACAGAACTGGGGAGAGGTGGTCCCGGGTGAAAGTGCCAGTTCTGTAGCGTGAGTAGGTCTGCACACACAGGTGCAGCGGGATGGCCATGGTTAATGACAAGGTATCATGTCGGGGATATTCACCAGGAGAGTAGCTTCGAGGGGCTCACACCACACAAAGTGAGAAATAGGGGAGGAGAAGGGTGTGTTAATTAGCTCGCCTGCAGTAAGCACTTCACTATATACATACACACCAAATGTCATGTTGTACAGCTTCAATTCATGGAATTTTTATTAAAAAAAAAAAGACAAGCTCTGGGACATGAGTGGCCAGCAGCTGTCCCTGGACCCTGACTTCCACAATGAGAGAAATGGCACTCCTGCCAGGATCAGACCCGACCTGCGAAGGACGGAATGGCAGCTTTTGCTTTCTCACTCTTGGAAACCAGCCCGCAGCCTGTGAGGAAACCCAGCAGCCACACGGAGGCCGAGGCCCGGCCACCAGCCCAGCTGAGCCCCGGGCGGCAGCCCCTGTGCGCAAGGCGAGCGCTGA